AATACAGTGAATTATAAATGAAGAAGCAAATGAATGAAGCGCTAAGGTAAAACAGCTCTATTCAGTCTGAAGAACCCGAAAGTGCCATAACCAAGCCGAACCAAAACTCCATCGGTGACAGAAATGGAGGAAAAAACCTTGGGAGAAACCAGAATCAGTTGGGGGACCAGTTCTCCTCTGGCCAGATGAACCCAGCATGGCGTGATTTAATTTCAGGCTGCAACACAAGTCAGAAATGTGCAGAGGACTCATCTGGCTCCCGTGGTCTGTGCCGATGGCTGTCTAGGTGACAAGGTCTTTGCAGAGGATCTGTCTCTGGGGCCCAGCTGACATTCAGGGCTGTCAAGGTCGTCTCTAGGTGCTTATCCACCATCTGGACTGGATACGGACTGGATCTGGGTGACTGCAGTGACCATCTGATCTGGATATGGACTGGATCTGGGTGGCTACGGTGACCGCAGAATAAGAATGATACAGACTAATCTTTGCGTAAATGCCTTTTTTAATTTTTATTCTTCCATTGACATCAATTCCATGTGATAATATAAATATCTATAAATATATTTATTTATAAATAAATATAAAATTTAAAGTATGATTATGACAATAATCCTGACACGTGTTGTCTAACCTTAATGGAGTAAATAATGTCTATAAAAGTTGATCCCAATGCATCTTTTTCATTATCTACATGAATATTAAAATCGCCAACAATTAAGACTTTATCTGCAGCCACTAACTCTGTTACTCAGACAAAAAAAATAAAAATCAGCAAATTCTTTGATAAAGTTTATATGGTGCCCTGCTGACCTGTATACAGTAGCCAGTACAGATGTCAATAGGGATTTATCATTAACACGTATTACTCTAGAATAGATAATGTTACATAAAGAACCATTACTTCAAACGAATTATACTTGAAACCAGACCTTTGAGAAATACTGAAAACATTGCTATAAATTGTAGCAACACCTCCCCCTTTACCTTTTGGGCACTGCTCATGTTTATAACAGTAATCTTGGAGGGTAAAGTTATGTAATCATCTGGTTTTAGCCAGGTTTCTGTCAAACATAGCACACAAACATCAAACAGGTTATGATCTGTGATCATATCATCTACAAATAGTGCTTTCGTAAAAAAAAAAGCACACACACACACACATTTTAATCTATGAAAGGTATAAATGTACAATGTTTTATTAAAAGGCAAAACAGAGGATCGCTTGAGTATCAACCAACTCTTGTTTATCAATCAGTTATGCTTGAGTATCAATCAGCTCAAGTTTTCACTGCTTACAGGCACCTGTAACTCTATCATAATTATTTAAAAATATATATAAGCATTATTCATGTTACCTTTGTAAATGACTAAAAACTAATATTTAAGCTAAACATATATTTACAATTGTGACAAATTCAGATATGTTAAACAATTTTGATATTCTGTTGATGAAGGACAAAAAACTGCTCACCACACAATTTCTTAAAGCCCTTGAAACCATGATGCTCGTGCAAAAATATTGAATAAAACATGTTAAAACATACTCACAGGTGATAATGACATCCATATTGTTTTCTCTGTTTGGTAAAGAAGCTTCATCTGGATCCCTATATTGCATATTTGTACCGTGCCTAAAACTCCGAAAATAAGAGCTATTCCACTCTTTAATTAATTTTAAATAGACTATACTTAAAAAAAAAATGTAGTACAAAACCTACAATCTCTGATTTTGGGAAAAAGGGACACCGTTTATTTCATTTTCTGTGTCATTTTGGGACACTGTTTTTTAAACTTTAAAGCAATATTACGCTTTTAAATAAATGTATCACATTTAAAACATTCATTTAGGAAAAAGTGAGCAGACTAACATCTCAGATCATCTGGTCTGTAACTCCTCCCTCACCCCTCCCGTCTCTGTAGGGGTTTGAAGTAGTCAGATCCTCAGTTTCACAATGGACAAGGCAACGGTCTGTGAGATTTGTTTATGAATCAACTTTAAATGCATTTTTTGTAAACATTTCATTTGAGGTATGACCATCATCGTTTCATCATTCTACTTCTGCTCTCAAAAAAAGTAAAGCAAATTTAAGGCTTTTTTTAATGTTTTCAGCTAAAAGTAAAAGAAAGCTTTTGCTTTGTCATTATACATCATGTTTGTTTTATTTATTAATAATAAGTATATGTAATATGTATATATATATATATATATATTGTATATGTAAGAAATATAATAAAGTTTTCTATCGGGTTGTGTTTATAGAATATACAGTATAAAAATCATTATGTCTATGTATATGGCGCTTTTCCACTGCGTGGTACAACGCGGCTCGGCACGGCTCAGTACAGCACGGCACGGCTCGGTTTGCGCTTCCACTGCAGTTTAGTACCGCTTTAGAGTGGGCGGGATTATTCACATGTCGTTATAGTTGTGCCGCCTCTACTGCCGCGACTCCTGAAAAACTTTTTCATTCTGCGTCACCCCATCAAGCTCTCGCTGGATCCGCTCCTCTGCTATCAACGAGAGGAACGTCTGTACTTCCTCAACAGACAACGAAACCTTTTGGTTGTTAAAAAAAGGTGCGCTCATTCAAAACAGATGCGTTCGATCCTTCGCTGGCTGTGCTGATTTACCCTGCATTCCATTCGGAAGGGCTCATCCCTATGCCCTAATCCCTTCAAAGGGTTTACCCTCGGGAGTGAGAGCTTCGAAGGGTTGAAGGGTGTAGGGGACCAAACAACTGTTTCTTGAAGAGCCCTTCTGTGTCATCATCACATGCCCACACGGAGGCGCCATCATCATGCAAAGAATCTGCACAAAGGATCATGGGAGCCTGAAGTGTCCATCAGTTGTACCCTTCGAAATCTTTCATTCCGAAGGGCCCTTTGAAGTGGCCAGTTTTGAGCACTTCGGTTTGGAATGACCCTTCAATATGGCAGCCATGATTGTTTTCACTCCGAAGTGCCCCTCAGAGGGCGATATATCCCGTTTGGAACGCACCCTTAAATCTAGTGGTTCTGTTGTGTCTCTGTGTCGCAAGTTCAGTGACGCAGGTAGTGACGATTCTCTCTGGCCAATCAGTGATCAGCAGAGTTTACACGTCACGTTTTGGTAACGGTACGGTTCACTTGGAACCTCAACCGAGGTGGTACTAAAAAAAGTACCAGGTACCAGGTACTGTACCCAGTGGAAAACCCCCCAAAAGTGAACCATACCGAACCGTACCGTTCCGTACCATGCAGTGGAAAAGCGCCATATGTAAAGCCTCCCATAAAACAGGGCAATTTGACATGCCTGGGCATGTCGGGGCCCACAATATCCCTTATGGCTTGACCTGTTAAAATTAAAATGTTTATTCCTTTACTTATTTTGACATTGGTGTTTATAATCGACCGATAACTTTTTCTTACATGACAGACACTTTGAGATTTTATATTTCCACTGATATTATTCATTGAAGAAGCAGTATTTTGAACAATGGCCTCTGTGCTAGCATCCTCTATTAGGAAGTGTCACAGCATGCACACCGTGGATGGGGATTCCTGATGTCGACGACACGGTTGTGTTTGAAGATGCACATGTGTTGCACATACAAAAACCTATTGTCCTTTTTAAATTGAGCAAAACATTAGGGGTTGCTTCCAATGTGAAACTATTACCCATATCTGATGCTTCTAAGCAGCCCCAACCCTGTCATGTTGCGTGACACACCGTTTTTTGCTGTGTGGTCACACTGCGGTTTTATATTTCAACTTAAACTAAGCACTTTTTTTGTGAAGATTTCATTCACAAGATGGACATCGTTGCACAAGGAAATCTTTTGTCCCGTTCTTGGAAAAATGTAAGATGATTTATATTTATTAAATTAGTTAAACTATAGTAAATGTTTTGCTTTGTTCCAGTCTTTCGTATATTCCAATCTTTTTTATATTAGATTCACCCGATACCTTCTTCCCTCACATGACCGTAGAGTGACCATGAGATGGAATGAGGCAGGATACCCACATGTGGTCAACAGATGTCTCTGAATGTAAAAGGTCAAAAATAAACATGAAAAGTTCAATTTTACCTGTCAAGGTTCAAAATCAATCAGTCCTCATATTACCTCCAGAGGTCATGGGTCAATGACGGAATTCCAGATATACTAAAACCATATGTCATACTGATAGCCGGAGATAATTATAAGGTCACGGGTCAACACTAGAATTCCAAATATGCTAAAACCATATGGCATCTTGACATCTGGAGATTATTATCAGGTCAAAGGTGAACATGACATGCGTGGGTGGTCCAAGGTCAAGGGTGAAAATGTAGTAGATTTTTATTGGTTAAAATATGAATTGTTCGAGTGTAATCATTAGCCCTCAGGGTAAAAGGTCAAAAACGTCAAAGGTCACCAAAAATTTTGACAAGGTTGACTACCGTTGTTATTCAGAAAACAGATGGTTGACATGAAGAAACGTCCTTCCTTCCTCTATTATTATACTACACAGATCTTCATGAAATCTTCAGATCTGAATACCTCAGATCTTTCATGAAAGTGTTCTTAAATATACATGTACATTTGTTCCAACTCAAGCCTAGAGCTGTTTAATCAAAGAGAACCAGTTGAGACCAATTTGTTTTCACTTTTTAATTACAAACTGGCATTTACAATACAGAACTTTTGCAGATATGCGCATATTACACAAACCTTAACAAAAATAATTTTCTGCATGTAAAAAAGTAAGTTTCCGATCACTATCTCTTCAAATAATTTAACCTCTTGTATCAGAGCTGTCCTATGCCTCTGATGATTTGTCATTTTGCATGATTTAGCATCGGTATGAATAAAACATCAAACCAACCATTATGATTCGTCTTCTAGAGACACAACATAAGGAAATAGAGCTCAACAGAACAGAGCACTATAAAATTTCGATCATAATAACAATTATTTTATTAATATTAATAAGAACAAAAATAAAAGAATACATACAAAAACACAGTCCTTAAAGGTGCATTTATGCTTTTTTTTTTGGACCATACTAAAGCATAACAATTCCATGTTTGCAGATATTTAGGAAACATGCTAAGTTTTCATACTCGTTCCTCTGAAGAACAATGCTAGACTATATCCAGTTATACCATTTGAAATGTGCATTCTGTGTCTGAATGTCTGTTTTTCTTTTGGTCTGTATGATACCCAACTATATTTTAACATCCTGGGTTGCCAGTTGGCAAAAAACAAGGCGTATTGCAGCCTTGTAGCAAACAAACTGGGTCAGTGATCAAAGATTCTACCTGACCTAAAAAGCCCGAGCATCCAACTAAAAAGCTCTATAACAAAGCATATTAAAACGTGGATAAATCATCGCATCAGTGTAAGGCCTCGCCTTGTCAATTGCGCTCACTCCTGTTGCATGTCTTCAATCTGACAACCGGTGTGAGCATTGAGTTTGAGGAGGAGGCGTGAGAAACTACTTTGTCCAATATTTTGAATTTAGACTGCAGTACCAATGTCAACTGCTAGCTGTAAATAATACATACTCTAATTTTAAGGATTAAAAGTATATTCGTATTACAAAAGGCACTTTTCCCACAAGGGAGGAAGGGATAGATGGATGCCAGATTGTCATGCCACAGCCAAGCAGGAGCCTCGCTTCATGGGCAGGACCAGTGTTTTGGTTAGAGTGTAGTGAACCTCAGGCATCTGCTTGCAACCCTGAAGGATTTTGGAGCTCACTATTCTATTCACCTCATAAATATGTCCATAAAAATAAAAATAATACATACAAAAACACAGTCCTTATGCAGTTATCCTTTTGTTGACTCTACTAAATCATAAAAATACCATATGTTTTCAGATATTGAGGAAACATTCTAAGTTCTCATACTCGTTTTTTTCTGAAGAACAATTCTATATCCAGTTATACCACTTTGAAATGTGCGTTCTGTGTCTGAATGTCTGTTTTTGTTTTGGTCTGTATGATACCCAACTATATTTTAACATCCGGTGTTACCAGTTGGCAGAAAACAAGGCATACAGAGCGGTGGAACTAAGATATCACTTTGTAGGCGGAAACCCAGAAGCGAGTTAGCATTTTAGCACTTCCGGTTCCATCGTACCAGAGTCAATGGGTTTTTTTAATGGGATTTTGGTTAAATTCCTTAAATAAGGTCCGTGGTTCACACAAGCTCAAGATATTTTCAAGTTTTATTCTACGACATAAAACACACCAGTTACACCCCACTCGTGATTTTTTAAAGCTGTTACGTTTCTTAAAAAAGACGGTTGCTAATGAGTTGCTAAATGGGACTACAGACGCTGTCGGAAACATTAAACGTCATCACGCCGAACAGGAACTCATACTAACCCACTTTTACAGCCTTGTGGTCTTGCAGTTTTTGGATTAGTTTGTTTATCAATTCATAGTGTTTTTTTTTTTTTTCAATTGTAGTGTTTTCTAATTTGTAGTTCAATCAATTGTAGAATAACCAATTAATAGTAATTAATCATACATAATGCCTTTATCACCTGTAGAGACCTGTGTCATGGCAAGATTAAAGTTAATTGTTGACAGAATATTTTAATAAAACTATTTTATGAGAATGTGTCAGTTTTTTACTTATGTATTTTTAAACATTTGAAGATACTGCTTGCTAAAGTGCATTTATTTCTCTCTGGTCAGCTCCCAGTTAAAAAATAGAAAACAAAATAAAATTAAATAAAAAAAAAACAGGAGAAAATATATAAAGAAAACAAACTTGAAAAAATATAGTTACTGTTGAGAAAATAACTTTGCTGATGCTATTGGCCTTAACTGGATCATTTTTTTAAATTATTATTATATTAACCAATAATTTTAAGTGATTGTTCATCTTGTTTAACAGTTTTTTATATATATAAATTCAGTTGAACACATTCAACACGTATAACTAATTATTATAATTTATTCCTCCCTCCCTGACGGCACTTTCCGACACTTGATAGACTTTTGGTGCTTTTCCACTGCGTGGTACGTCTCGGCTCGGCACGGCTCAGTACAGCACGGCACGGTTTGGCTCGCACGGTTTGCGTTTCCACTGCAGTTCAGTACCGCTTTAGAGTGGGCGGGATTATTCACATGTTGTTATAGTTG